AAGAGGGAGGAAAGCAAGTTTTCCAGGTCCATCTTCTTGCAAGTTTACTTGCATCTTCTTCTTACTAGTGGTCAAAATTACAGCCCTCTGTGAATGGCTGTGATGCTCTAAGGATGGGAAAGTGGGTAGCAGCCCATGGCTAAGGGGATTTCACTTCATGCAGCCTTGGATGTTAATGTGGCAAGTCTGGCCTATCTTGTTTATAGCAACTGATCAAATTTAAAGTGCCTACCTTGAATGCTGACGTGATTTCCTGATGTCATCTTTAAGTGGAGCAGGAGATATGCCCAGTGTGCAGAAAGATGCAGTTCAGAGCTCTGGCCGTGCTTCCAGCTACAGAACTGCCCACTGCTTCCTGGTGCAGGAGCTGTGTTTTTGCAAATAAAACCAGTCAAGCTCAAGTCACATAGTAAGCATCATAGACTTCTCATATTTAGTTCCCAGTGCATACCTTTGGGCAACATTCACGCTCTCCAGTGCCTGCTAATTAATTTGTTTTCTTATACTTTACTGAGATTTGGATTGGCACTGAAGCCCAAAAAGGAAGAATCTAGCTGTCAAAAAGTGAATATAATGAGTGTAAGGTGTGGATGGAAACCACATAGTTGTCATACAGAAGCTATGACACAAAAGATTCTATTGCTTCCATACTGTTTCCTGTAAGGGAGAGAGATATTTTGGGAGGGCAGATGATGTGATTACAGGAGACAGTGACATGGAAACTGTCATTGAATGCTCCTCATGCTGAAATGGAGCGGTGTGCAGGAACAAGGCTGTTAGAAATATTTTAATAAGCATTAAGTTCATAGATGAGTAACAAAAGTATGTAAGAATTGATTTAACATGGCTGGCTAGCCTGTGCAGCATTGTCCAGTTGAGGAACACAGGATTCAGAGTGGGAAGCTGAGGTTTTCCTCCCGGCCCTGAAACGAGTTTTCTTTAAGATCTCAAGTTGTATTTTCCACTGATTTCATACTCTTTGGACCAGCAACACGTGCCTCAGTTTCCTCATCTCTAAAATGCTGCTGTTTGCTAACATAATTCCAGACCATTGATTATAAATTCTATATAGGACCCTGGAGTGAATAGTTATGGAAGTCTGAGATATTGATTAATCATCACTGTTTTTAGGCTCCTGGTCCTTTTCTGCATGATGTCAGACTTTGCAGTCCTATAAGAGCCCAGTATAAAGACCAAGCTTCCCTTTTGGTGTCTGGGACTTCTTCCGTGAGCCGCAGTGCTCAGGGATTGCCTGCCTGCTGCGATGCCACCCTGGCTGTTACCTCCCTGCTCCCAGGCCCTACACCCTCATGCCTAGTGCCAGGCTCCTGCAGGCAGTGTCAGCTGTTGAAATGGCTTAGTAGTGAATCCTAGGGCAGCCAGTCTGTAATAAATTAATCTTCTTGCAGTCTGATGACCATAAGGAGTAATCCTAACATGTAGCATCTTCATCCATAACGGCACCGCATCAGGGGTGTCTGTATTTTAGGAACCTTTTGTGCTCCCCATGGTCAGTAGATATGGTGAGCTCTACCCAATTGCTCTTGCAACATCCTGTTTTTCCCATGATACTTCAGGGAATCTGTGATACATTCAGAACTGCCCTTGAAAAAGTGCAAGAGAAGTAAGTAAAGCCATGCTTTAAATAGGCTGCATTACTGAAAATGACCTGAACGATGAAACAAAAGACGAAAGTGTGCAGGTGACTAGTAAAAGGCAAAGGACATAAAATAGAAGGCTGATGCACAGCTCATTTGGCACCTGCAAGTCCTCTGGCTGTGTTGAGCTCAAACCCTGGTGAGGCAGGCACAGGAACCAACACCCCAAACCTCCTTGCAATGAGTGGAGTTGCAGGGAGGTGGTGGCAGTCATTTGTGTGACTGATTTTTCCCATCCCCACTGTGTAACTGCAGAAATGCCAAGCTGAAGTCTCTAGGCCTGCATTGGAAATACAGAGACAGCCCTTCCCTGGGATGCAGTGGGAGGTGTGGGGGCTGCCTCCTGCTCCGTTTTAGCAAGAGAACATCTCTACAGCTCCCCATACCACCTTCTGTGGAATGACAACCAACATATGACTTGGGATTGAAATCCTTGCAGCTGATGGAAAAACAATTAGGATCTCATTAAAATTCTGTGTAGAGAGTCAAGAAAAGGAAGATAATGTCAGAGGAAAGGTGATACGTAGGACAGTATGGAGAATTCTCTTAAGTTAAGCTTGTCATTAGGCAGGAGCACAGAAGGTGCTAATTGTACAGTGCATTTCATTCATCCCACAAAGAATAATTAACAGTTTCCCTTCTGCCTTCACTGAAATGAATTGATTCAATGCATATGCTCTCTTGTTAAGGCAGGAGTTGTCATATCCTGGATCCTTATGTGCAGAAGAATTTTACTGCTGGGTTTCTTCACCTGCTGATTGTTGAACAGGAAGCGTTATTAGTCATGTGAGAGAATGCTGATTTTATTAATCTCTTTGTGTGTCTTCATTTGTTTCTGCTATAAAAATTATTGACCCAAGATGTGAAGCATTGGAATGAGCATTGGAACTGCCTTTCAGGTAAGCACATGCTTAAATATTGCCCTAAATAGGGAAGAACTGACCAGAGATTGCTCTTACTCTGATAGTGTGCAGACAAGTACTTCTTGGTCCTGTGTGGGCTTCCAGCAGCCTGGCAGAGTGCTGAGGATTTTTTATTAAGAATTATTTCCAGGCTGATCCAGCCATTGAGAGAGAAACCATAGGTCTTGCAAAATGTAGACTCTGGCCTGTCTTGCTGCCCTGATCACTCTTAGTCCTGAGCAATATTATTGTGACAGAGTGACAGCTGCTTTGCAAAGCAAAACTTAGCCTCACCAGGTCCAGTTTGCGTGTTTGCACACAGCTTCCCAGCCTCCCTCATTCCTCATGAAATTGAAATAGAGGTGATAGTCTTCACTTCCTTTTAAACATGAGGAGATACCATTGTATCTTACTACCCAGCTGATGGTCTCTACTCCAATGGTGGCTACGCTTCAAGGCTGGGGTGAAGTGATCCATGTCCATGTGGCCTTTTTATTTCGCAGAAGTCATTCAGATTAATTAATTAGTGATTACAAAGCATCTGACATTCCTGGCTGAAAATGCTACCTCCAACTATAACCATATTGTTACTTTACACACCGATACTTTTGCTGGAGTCTCTGAAAGAGAAGCTATGTGTGTACAAGCTGGCATGCTTGGTGTTCACTGAAGTTCTTCATCCCAATTCGTGCCAGAGACAGTCCAAAGAACCACTCTTCCTCTTTTTCTTGGTCTAGGCATCTTCAGAGTTCTAGGAAGTTTTCCTGTGTCCTTGATGGCTGCCGACGGCAGCAGTAGACGGCTGGCTCTGAGGCTCACGACAGCTGCAGTGCAAACAAGGGAGCTGCACAGTTACACAGCCTCTCCACCGCCCTGCTATCCCACTGTTTGCGCTACACTAGTGTGGCTAAAGGGGTCCTTTCATCCCCTCATTGGCTTCTCATGGGCTTCTCATTGGCACTTTGGGCATACAAGAGTAGGCTGCTGCAAAGTGCCAGCTTATTTTCAGCGTTGTAGACACCTGCTACCACGTCCATAGTATGTGGGCTCTGAAAGTGCTGAGCCAAATTCCTTCCAAATATTTGCATGGAATCTTGAGACAAAGGTGTAAGATACCCTTGCATCTCTGTCTTTTGACACAAGCTGAGACAGCAGCATCTTATCCTCAGGCCCACCACTGAGGTGCAAGCAGTCTTAGCTGCTGGAAACCAGGGAACATGTGTACACCCACATCTCTCTGGCCTGGTCGGTCCAGCCCTTGGTTCACCAGTCAGCCAGCCCCACAACTGATGTTTGTTGGGCTTACGTTGTTTCCATGTGGCCCCTTCTGTCCCACTCTTGCATCCAGTCCAAGTTGGCACACAAGTAATCTGACTGAAATTGGGCTTGAGAGAGAAAGAGAAGAGTTCAGGGACTAAAAAAGGATATGTCAGAAACAAGCTTTCTTACATTTCTTGAAGCACTGACACCATTCCCAAGCTAAGCACAATGAGCTGTACATGAAGTCACTTAGCAAGGATCTTCTTTGGGCTGGTCTACCTGTGGCTAAATAGTCATTACTTGGACTTTTCCCAGACTACTTTCATTCAGACTCCTCACCATCTATCTATAAAGCTTATGTTCCGTTGAATGAGCCATGAAGTTAAAAGGCAGTCAAATGCGACAATCAGGTGGGGGAAGGAGGGAAGGAGATGACTTTCGTGCTTTCCTGAAAGCTCAGGTGGATACAGTTGCTGATGGTGAGAGTAATTGTTGTGCTGGTAGGCCGAGAGGGATGTCTGCGAGGTGTGAGCAGGAGGGGTGTTTAGGGGTAAAAGCACGCAGGCTGCTGCTGTAGGAGATGCTCTCTGTCAAGCAACAAAAAAATCCTGTTTTATTGGGGTCAGAGAACTGTTGGCTTATAGGATCAGGAAAGCTTGCAGGTCTAGATCTTAGAGGTCTCCAGATATTCTTACAGTGTAACAGAAACAGCTAGAAAAGTTCCTAGGCAGATAAGGAGCAATTACCCATCCCAATCTCCCCAACTGGCTGAGATGCCTGTCTTGGTTTCATTTCTTTGTAAATTGAAATGACAGATAAAGTAAATAAAACCAAAACCTGCAGATTAATGACATGAAAACCAGCAGAAGAGGTGGGTCATAGCATTACAAAAGGACATTGTGATTTTCAACCCAATTCCCGTGTGGCAACCAAGAGTAATTTCTGTAGGAGTTGTGAATTCAACTCAGTTGCCAGTGTAGTGGGGAGGGAGGATCTCTGTTGGTTTGGGGACAGGAGACCACCGGTTTTCAAAATTTTTAAGTATCACTGGTTTTTGTATGCCTAACAGAAAAAGTGTCTCATGCTGGGCATCCGAATCTAGAGGCCACTTTTAAACCTTGTTTTGGTTTTTCTTGTTGAAGTAGAAGAAACATTTCTAACGTGCAGTCCATTCTTACAGGTCATTGACTTAAAAGTTAATCATAGTTTTGGCTCCAGATGGCTACAGTGCATCTGCTTCTCCGTCTGTGGGAGTCTTAAAGGATACTTGATAGCTGTCCAAGTAAGTGCTTAAAAATTGTATCATACAAAGACAAAATAACTAGATAGCATAATCCAGAATGAACCTGAGGGAAATGGAGGTGAAATAAGTGTCTCAAGCCCTCAGCTGTGTCCTATAGATTTCACCTGAAATACAGGTTATTGTATGTCATGCATGAGGTGTTATTCATAGTAGATGTGCACTGAAGATGTACCTACCTAATTTTCATCAGAGACATGCTGTAGAAAGATGCTTCCTGCTTTTCTGTGAACAGTAATCTTACATAATAGTAAACAAATGTGAGCAAAACATTTTTCAGCCATATTATTCTATTCTATTCTATTCTATTCTATTCTATTCTATTCTATTCTATTCTATTCTATTCTATTGGAACTTCATACGTCTGTCTGTAAGTCTTCTTGTTTTGCAAATTGGTTTCCAAACAGCCATCACTCTTTCCCATACCAGAAGCCCTTGATAAATCAAGCAGAATGGTGCAAACTATATACAGTTTCCTTATGTCCTCCCTGTAATCCCTGGCAAGACAAACATAGAAATTTCTAGGGCTGAGATGTGAGATGCAGTATTAATGAGCAAATACAGAATTGGTCTCATTCAAAATATCGTTAGATCAACAGGTGAATTAAGATGGAGATGGGAGCTAAGTGAAATCCTGTTGGGAGTGGAGCGGTGGGAGGGATGTGTGTTGTGTGTGCTGCTGGGGCCCTTGAAGGCTTGAAGCCAGGCCAAAAACAATGAGGTCTGAGACTGTAGAAAGTTTCAAGCTATATGAAGCTTGATCCAAAGCTCAGTGAAGCTTAAGAAAATCCCCCATGGTGCATGAATATTGCATGTGTTATGGGACGTTCTTTATTTGAAGAGTAATTACGTCAAATGCAGAGACACAAGAATTCCACTAAATCTCAGTCTTGCTCTGCATGAGGGTTACATGGGATAAGAGGGAAGAAGGATTTGCTTTCCCTCTCAAGGTGAACATGATAGAGTTGGTTTCTGGATCATTCCCCAGAGTCATGTCCAATGGGACACAGAACACTGTAGGGCTCTCTACATGGAGTTGCGACAGGTGAAGAAGATAAGAAGCCCCTAGACCATACCTGCCATGAGCAACCAGAGAAAGAATAGAGGAAAAGAGGCATGACCCTTTGCCTAATCATCACCTCATCTGCTCAGGAGCAGCAAGCCATTACAGACAGGCTGCAAACTGCATGTCTGTCACAGATGCAACACATTCCCTCTCTTCTGGAACAAACTGTAAGCATAAAGTATTGCAGTGCAAGTAAAACCTTTAGCGAAGGTTGAGCTTTACAACTACACATATTAATGGCCTGTAATAATAGTTTACAAACAGGAATCATGTGTTTTGCTTTGTCATTGTAATAATGGGTGGTACTTGAAAGCTGTTCTACCACAACAGAAACTCACTGCTGCAGCCTGGAAAACCCTCTCTTCTGATAGGACTCCAAGAAGAGCTGTTAGCCATGTATATGAACACTGGGCAAGTGATATGGCACAAGTTCATTAAACAATAGGCCAATTAGGTGCATGGAAATCAGCAAGTAGTAATACACTACCCTGGGAATAAATACCATGGTATGCAACGCCTCTGGGGGCAAAATGTTAGTGCGAAATGTGTACCTAAAACCATGAGCAACCCGAAGGGATAAGCATCTGTATTTACAACATTGCTTACAATTACTAATGCCACACTCAGCAATTATGTTTTAAAGTTGGTATTTTTTGTTCAACACATGGCTGAGGACTGATTTACGATTTTATTTAAATGCCTAAATGAATTACAGTTATTCTGGCACTTATTAATTTTGTAAATTGATGTGCAGGAGTTTATATCACAGTACCCAATCTGGTTTTTATGGCTGCTATTTTATTTCTCCGTGATTGCTCTAAGATTGACTTTGCTTGCCAATACTTACAAGTTAAAATCAAGTTTTAATATATTTGTTGGCTTAAATGTAAGATTGAGGGCAAGGGTTGCTTCATTTGGAGAGTTTTTCTCTCCATCTTCCTAATTTTTTTCTATTAATTTCTGTTCAGTTAATCTATGTCTGTGGTGTATTGATCTGTTTCATATTAAAGGAATAACAGCGATTTTCCCTGAATAAGCAACACTTGGTGATGTGTCTTCTATTTAGGCAAGAAGGAAGAATCAAAGCAGGAACCAGGCTCCCCAGGGAGGGGAAGTGTCACCAGTGAAACATGATAGCACTGCTAAGAGGATCTCAGCCTAATGGGGCTGGCGGACAGGAAGACAATGGCCTTTGCTAAGACTGTGTATCCTCCTCCCTCGAATCTCTTTTTCCTAGAGGGATGCCTCCACTGGAGAGGGCAGCAGTCAGAGCCAGAACCAATATCAGGGATCGAGGAAACAACAGGAGAAGTGGTATTTCTATTCTGCCTACAGCAGAGAAAGAAGATTGGGACTAGCTGCCCAAATCAAGGTCAGACGCTCTCTAAGAGAACATTAGAGGCATCGTCTGTGGGGAGGAATCACAGAATCACAGAATGGGTAAGGTTGGAAGGGACCACAGGGGGCCATCTGGTCCAACCCCTCTGCTCAAGACCTATTTAAGCAAAGTGCACACACACAAAAGGAATACATGAACGTTGGCGATTAGAAGGTTTTTAATTGTCAAAGAAAGCGGTGACAATCTAGAGCCAGTAAGAGAAATAGGAAGAAGAAAGCTAACCTGTGGAGGTGGAGCAGATAATCTCAAGTCTGTTTGGGCTCTGTGCCTCTGATAGATCCAGGGCTCAATAGTTTTCTCACACTACTACCTGAAGGCTCTTCTGCAGCATCATGAGGTCCTGACAGTTTGTGCAGTTTCCCACCATCCTTTTGGTCTTCTAGTGACAATGTCTGGCAGGATAGAATTACCCAGATCCTTGCATGGATCCTGGTACTTTCCCAAGGGCTCTGCCATGTCCTGGTCAAGAGCAGACTGAATTTATAGTCAGCCCAAGCTGAGGTGGAGAAAACCTGGACTCCAAATGCTGGAGATCTTCAACTCCAAAGCACCCTTAAGAGCACTCTGGCAGGTAGAGCATCGATGGAGCCTGTGATCCCTGATCCTTTGCGAGCTTTGCAATGGTTAGTTATGATGAGCAGATGTTTTGAGTCCTGTGGGCTTCCATGTACTTTCCAGACTAAAGATTCTAAACTCAGAGTGTTCAGAAAAGAACATAAATAGCCTTGGGCTTTGCTGAAGTGTGAAAAACTTCAGACTAGATTTTTGCAATGCTGTGTGAGTGTTGCTTTATCGTTGTGCCTCCGTCCAGCCACCAGCCAAAAACTGTGTGAAATAGAGTCTCGATATCAGTGTAGAGTGACACGTGATTCCTTTATAATTTGGGGTAAGCTGAGGCTTTAATCATGAAACCTCGCAGATTGGAACTGTGAGGAAAAAGGAGAACATGCAATGTTCTTTCAAAAGGTTGCAGAGTTTCCTTAATATCTACTCCCTGTAGCCATCTGGAAATCTCACTAAGCCACTCAAATGCTTTCCAGCGCTTTTACTTCACAGAAGCATCCTTAAGACTGTAATGCAGGCTTTGACTTATAGCCAAAATTGTTATTTCCAATAATAATGAGCTGACTGATTAGTGCCATTAATTCCTGACTGCAAGAAATGACAAAGAAAAATATTTTTTCAATTATTTTTCTAATGACAGGATAGAAAATGAATAAACCCTACCATTCTGGGACCAAAATATAAGTTTGGCTAGTTCTGAAAACTAGAAAAGGGAAAATTCTACTGTCAGATATTGAAAAAATATTTTAAAAACATGAAGTCACTGTGTGAAATATAATAGAGTATGTGAACATAATCTTAGTGGCTCAGAGATACAAAACAAGCTTGTGACACAGTGACTAGTAGCAGCCCTTTGGGTAGATATTGCTTATCTCACAGTATATTGATGTCTTCACTAGGCCTGGACTTGTTAGACATGACACTTCAATCTCGGAATAGATTACTGCAGCAGCTTTTTACCTCAGGACATACAAATTTCATCCTACTAACTTCACCATAGGTAAATTTTTATGATACATATAAATTCCCTGTTGTGTACATCAAAACCTGATCATGACTGGACCTGTCAATAAGCAGAATGTGAAAATGTTTTGTAGTTCTTTCATACTGCCGGGCTCGCTTTTCTTTCCCTGCATTTATGTGTGTTTTTTATAAGTGGATGAAGTAGGTAAGAGCCTCATAATATGCTGAAAGACAAGAAAATATGAGAGCACTTGTATGTTTTGATCTAATGTGATGCAGAATAGCCTTTCAGACTTGAGCTGAGGCAGACTTGCCTCAAGCTGAGGCAGACTCAACAAAGGAATATTGGCACTGCAGAAATTATTTCCACACACATGAGCTGCCTGGGAAATACAGGCTGAGGAAAAGTTTACAGAGAGTGTAAGAGAGCAAAGAGTAGATTTTAAATGCCTGGAGGAAAAAATATGAAGAAAAGAATATTCTGACTTCTGCTTGAAGGCTTAATCAACTTCGACCTGAGCCTTCTGGCCTGAGGAACTTTGGATCCTGCTACCCAATGGACTAGACATGTACATTTGTTTCAGAAAGGCTTGCCTTGTTGTAGAGCATTGCTGACTGTCTGACTTCTTTAAAAGAAGACAAGGGCTCTGATTCAGCATTGAACTCATTCACTGATCTATGTAATGAAGTGAGCGTGGCTCCAGCGAGGACTGGAGGAAGACTGCAAATCATGAATGAGGGTAGTGGCAAGGAGGAACCTGGTCATCTTCCCCGAATGTTTTAGAGAGAGAGCAGTTTGTCTGAGAATGGAGAATGTGAGGAGACTTGGAAGCAGCTAGAGAAACTAACCCATATTTAAAGTTGAATCCAGATCCTTCTAAGAGGAACTCAGTGACAAGACAAGACAAAGTGCACCAAGCACAATGTGGGAAATTCTCATTTTTTAGGATTTTTTTTCTCACTGGGAGGGTGATGTAGCACTGGAATCAATGACCAGAGAGTCTGCAGGATCTCCAGCCTTGGAAATAACCAGATCTTGACTGGATATCAGTCAAGAACAAATGTGACCTCAGCAGTAGTTGTCCCAAATAACCTATGGAGGTCCCTTCCAGCCTGAATTATTCTGTGATTTTGAGTCAGATCCTACAGCTGGCAATGGAAGGACCTTAGCTATCATGCTTGAGGGTAGAGGTAGTGTATCTGACTCATGACTAGACTGGAGTCACTGATGAATTCAGTGTATTTCATGACTGTATGTCAAATTTTATGGGGAACCTGACAGCTATGAACTTTCTGGCTCTGGAAGGCAAGAAATTATTTGCTGACTCATATCACTAATAAATGCTGGTATTTATCCTATCCAGCACTGGCAGATGATACCTTTGAACTTTTCATGATGCTTTGAACCAGGGCAAGAGATTAGTTCCTGTGAAAAGGCTTTTTCATACATGCTCTGACCCAAATTTTCAAAGCCTCCAGTTCCCCAGCTGAAACTTGGTCTGCAGGAAAAAGCTTCAAGCAAATGGCAGTGGGATGGATCAAAATGAATGCTCTGAACATTCCTGAGGGATTCTCTGGGGACAAAGCTGTCTGTTGGCTCTTCATTGCAATGGTTGCAGTGGATAAATTAATGGATTGCTGTTTACATCAGTATTCCCTACTGAAAAGCAAAACTCAAGGAACAGCTCTGGTATTTTATTTGCTCTATGTGGGAACATGGCCAGTGATGCCCATAATTCATACTATGATATGACTAAAACTCTGATATGTCACAGAACATTTCAAAATTGAGACTGACAACTTCTGGAATTAAGTTTAACTGTGGATGTGTTTTGTTAACCATATTATGTACTTATAGCAGCTTTTTATAACTGAAGAACAAGAAGATGACTTCTCATTTTCTAGCTACATAAGTGCCACTAACAAAGGGGCAGCTGTAGTTTAATTTGGACAAAAATCTCTGTTTCAGTTATATTCAAAATACAGAATTTCATGGAGGTGTGTTTTCATTTGCACAGCCATAGCATAGATAGAAGGTTGGAGGTACCAAGAGCAGTACCTCAGACTGCTGTAGCAGCTGCCTGTATGTTTGTAGCACAGAAACATTTTCTTGCCTTGGAATGGATGAGTGCATGTGTATACACTGCCTGATCACTCCTGTCATGCACAGCCTGGCAGAGACATGGTGTTTCCTACATGAACTGCCATTTCTTCCCAGATCATGAGTGAAAGGCTAAACATGAAGCAGAGACTAACAAGATTCCAGTTCTGCAGTTTTCATTTTCAGCAGTTTGTATTCTGCCACATACCCGACACTCTTTCCTGAGGGAAAAAACCCAACATAATTAACATGGGATAGATTTTGTTCAACGTACTCTGTTTCCTTCCATCATTATATTTGCTAGAGGAACTATTTAGAGAGAAGCTTTCTCACGGTATTGTGTACAATCCAAGTGTTTTTAGTTTGTCAGGGGATTTTTTGGTTTGTTTGGTTTTTTTAATTTGTTTTTAAGAAAGCACTGTTTTAGAGGTTACATTTTCAGAAGCCATTGGATTTCAGCCATTTCAGATACATAGTGAAAAGGGAGGAGACAGTAAGAACTTAAAGAGATTATTATTTTTCACATTACTGGCAGGAACATCCTCATCTGAGTTCCATTAGAGAGGTAACTGCCTACATTAATAAAATAAACCAATATATAATCACTACCAGTCTTAATGCTTGGGCTGAATGACTTAATTTAGTAACTCGTTTATGATGTGTTTTAGTAGCATGGCCTCTCTTATGTTATCTGAGTAAATAGAACAGATGCAGATGCTTGCCAGAGGTTCATAGTTTCATAAACTTGTCTTTACAGACTAGCTTGAATATGCCTTATAAATTCACTGGTCTTCACTCACTGGACTCAGTCTTCAAAGTAGGCACGAAATATTTATACTTACAGATCCAGTTGTTGTAACTCCCATCAGTCAAACAGCAAGAATGAGCTAGGCAAAGAAACAAGAGTAGCACATAAATCACCTTTTTTATTAATAATTTTCCACTGCCTTTACTGAAGCTGTCTTCTTTCAGAGTCTGAGACATAGGGAAGAGTTATCTCGCTAGATTTGTAGAGCCATTTTCAGTTTGTTACAGATCTAATTACCTAATTGAGGGACAACCAGTTTAGAGATGAACAGAACTTTTTCTCTGTGGTTTGTGTTTCTTTCTGTGGTTCCCTCTGAGATTTCCATATTTTCTTCTGTATGGGGGAATCCATCTCCAGTGAGAGGCGACTGTGTGCTTTGGAGTACATTTTTTTGCTGAGGATGGTGAGCAATACGTGCTGTGTATCAGTAGTCCTAAATAAAAGCAAATCCATTAAAAAATCCAGTAACCAATTCAGTTCTCCAAATACAACCAATGGAAGTAAATAAAGCGAACCATGTCACCCTTCAGCCCCTGCACCAGGAGGGTTCCCAGGTGAAGGCAGGCAATGGTTGCGTCTTGAGCAAATCCCTGAGCATGCCAACGACTGGTCCAGTCTCACAGCAAAGCTACTGGGCACAGGCCACTAGCCTGGAGGTCAGTGTGGCATCTCTGTGATAGGTAGCTGGGTTGCTGGGATAGGCAGAGACATCCCACCATCCTTCTGTGCTCAGCAGCAGTCTCAAAACTTTCCAGAGGAGTGGGACCTGCCAAGCATGACTGCTCTCATCACTGCTCAGCACCATCTCTGCCAGCAGAAGAAATAATGACATCTGTCTCAAGACTTGTCTTTTTAACACCAGTAACGTAATTTCTTCCTCTTCCAAAATTGATTCATTTGATGCCCTAAGTTTCAGCTGGTTTTCCACGAGCATATTATTTTTTTTGAGAATGAACTCACGTTTTCCAGTTGAGTTCTTGATTAGTCTAATGAATTTTCCTCCTTTCCCATCATCAAACACACTTTCCCAGATGATGGGGAGGTTCATCTCTAAAGGAAAATGACTCTTCTCTGACACAGAAAAAGTTTTAAACGAAGATTTCAAAAGTGTCTGATGATGATGGGGTTCTCAATATTTCAAGTACTAAATTTAAAGCGTTGTAAAGTGACAGCAAATGGTGGATATCTGCCCTCTGATCCCTGATGCTATTTATTTGAGGTGTCCTAAATTGGCATAGAAGGCCATCATTCATTTTTGACCCAAAGCATCTCAGACATTCAAAAATCTCATTCCCAAATTTCTAATTCTTTCCCAGTTCAGAAGGCTGTCTGAAAGTTGCCAAGTATGAAGTTTAAAACAAACAGATAAGTAAATATTTGGACCTTTTTAATTGCTTCATGTTTCCTGAACTTTCAGGATTCATGTTTTCAATCTAATTATTTCTGGCTTTTGGAGAGAGAAGGTTTCCTTCTCCCCTTTGTTTCTAACTAAGTAACTATCTAGGCTAACCTGTCAAAAAAAAAAAAAAATATATATATATATAGAAAAAATTCACAATTGAAGGAACTTTGCTAAATGGGATAAACCTGCCTACAGCCCAGGCCTGAGCACAAAACCTAGAGCCTTTACTCACCTTGACTCTCTACATCCAAACTAACATCAGCTAGTTACTGTACAGGCATGGTGGCAGATTTTTGTACCTGCCTAACACAAATCTCCTGCTCCCTGTCTTTCTGCACAGCATCTCCTGTGGTCACAGCTGAGACCCTGTGGTGCCCAGCTGATCATTTTTGCCCAGACATTCTGCAGGACTCCATCACCCATCTCGGCATTCCACAATAAAGGGACTGGAGGAGGTAACTTCAATGTTTCACATGGGAGGTGTGAATCACATTACTTTTTACCTGTCCTGCTTAATACAATTCATGTATTTCCATTTTTTAGTTTTATTGTTTGCTCTTGCTAGAAACTGATGATGTTAATGCTCACTTTGCTAGACCTGAATACCCAAGGACACTGTGAGTTTTCACCAACTGTTCCTTAAAGAACAACTCAATATGAGAAATCCTCCTACGAATCCTACACTTATCCATGTAATCAGCCCTGCCAATACACTGCAGACTGTAAACAGCCATAGAGAGGATTCCAAACAGTTAATGTCAAATAGCTCATTTTCTCTCATCTCCACACAAATTCCTGTCATGTTGCATTACATGTAAACAACCGAGAAACTTAATGAAATGCCTTTCAGTAAAAAACTCATATGGCTTTTCAGTCTGAACAGATTAATTGCAGTTTGTAACAATATAAAGTGATGCAATCTGATTGCAGTTTCTGTTGTTCTTTAGGATAAAATATTTTATGTGAATGCAAAGCCAAGTTTTCTGCTGGCGTGACTTTATTGAATTCCATGGAAAAATAAAATACTCATCTAAAATCCATAGTACAAAATACTAATCTAAAATCTAAAATCCATCGTGTACTGTTCTAGTAAATAAATTTTATAAGCTGTAAATTAGATGTGCCAGATCAGATTCCAGACCCCATGGAAATGTCCATGTCAATGAAGAGAGGCAATAGGAATATTTTGTTTTGGAGGAGACACTTCTGAATGAATCTTTTAGCACTTTATGGTTTTGAAAGGGTTTCCTACTTCCATTTTTTCAATGCCCTGTCTTCATCTTGACATTGCGCTCTTTAAATCTGCTTGTCATTCTCTTTAGTTTCATTCCTATGTACTCTTGGGTTGTTTTTCTCTTCTTGCTGCAGGCATTGCTCCGGTGTTTTGTAGCAATCCTGTAGACCCAAGCCCAGAAGCCCTGCAACACAAGTTCTGCTTGCTGCCAACAGGGATAACGCAAGGAACTTCCATGAAACCTCTCCGGGTGCATCCCTTACTGTATTTTTTATAAACCCAGTTTTCTTTACTTTAGTTTTCTTTGTTTATTTTCCCAGTTTGCAGAATGCCATAATTGGGGGTGATCACTGCTTGAAGAGGCCAGAAGTTGTCTGTGGTGTTTTGAATCCCATGTAACTGCACCAGGGGAAGGGCTGAAATTTTTTGGGCAAGTGTGTGGTCTTGCCAATGCAACACCACTCTGTCCATGCTGCTGGACTAAAACTGAAGGTCACAAATATTCTACAGAAGCTGCCAATGTCTGATTGCCTGGCACCCATTTGAGTCATCAATATTCCAACAGAGTTTCACTTTTACGGGACTAGCATATTTTATGGAACAGGAGACATTTTTTATGTAATATTAGCAATATCACATTTAAGTGTTACAATACTGCCTGACACTGGGGACCAAGAGAAAAATACTTAATGGAAAAGTAGAAGCTGCTGCACTTTGAACTGAAGCTGTGTGTATTGGAAAGGGGGAGCATGTAGTTCACATCTCCGCTGGGACGTTACATATAGATCATGATAAAGCAGGCTGCAGAATTGGAAATGTTTAAATCAGCATTGTAAAATCCTGAAGAAGTGTAAGAAAATGAGGAAAAAAAAAGTACATTATCCAAATATTGAGTCCGTACTTTGATATGTGTAGAAATCCTTTCTATAGAAATAGATTGTTTATCCCTGTCCATTTCTTTAAGATAGCCTCTACTCCGACTAGGTAGAAGCTTTTAGTTTTTGATGGGAGAGATTTTGAAATATGCTATTTTCACACTGCATGTAATAGCATGATTGGAAGGAAAATTACTGCAAATTCTTTCATTTCTGAGTGTGAAGATCTCTTCAATAGAACCACTATTGCTACCCATGTGGTTGGTCACTTGAGGGCTGTTTTTTTCATTTTATACAAGCAGATAGCTTGTATGCCATGACTCCTTAAGAAGTACACAGTTTCAATCTCAGATAGCATGTTTACATATAGTTTTTTCTTACTATGAACAACTTCAGATGAAATATTACTTAGTTGTCCAATAATTGCATGCAATTTTAGGACCAATTAATTCCCCTTTGAGTGACTTTATTACTCTAATGATTACTGAGGCATGGTACAGTATGTTTCTCCCATGAGAATGCTTAGCTGTTCTTAAGTCAGAGGCTGTTGGGAGTAAAAAAAAGCATCTGACAGAATCAGATTTTCATCAAATAAAAAAAAGCACCCCATAAACATTTTTTTAGGAAACTTCAATGCTGTTTAAACATTAGTGATAATTTCTGCAGCTGGATAAACACCATTATTTTATAACTGTGGTAGAGCATGAGGCTACTGGAAAAAAATGTGGCTTTATATTGAATTTTCCTTAACTGAGCTTTCTCAAAGCAGTATGTTTAACAAGTCATGAGATGACTGCATGGGCAAAAAAGATACATAGCAGAGAATGACAGAAATCAAAACTAAGAGGAACGAGGGTTTTTTTAGACCCACTGTGGTCATTTCCAAACCTTGCCAGTCAAGTTCAGTTCTCTGTATATAGGTCAGATTTAACCAGAACATTTATTTGTCACAATCAACTGAGTATCAGTAACTCTGAAAACAAGGGATTTTATTTTCCTCTCTTTTCAGATTCTGATTTATCTGCTGAGTGGGGGATGGATCATTAGTGGAGAACAAGTGCCACCAGTGGTGACCAAAAGCTATGGCCACCTAACCACCCCCTGAAGTGCCTGATGAAGTACCCAGGAGTGCACATCTGTTGTGTGAAAACCCTGATGGTGGGCAGCACTTGGAGCTGTCATCAGCAACTGGTCCTTTAGTACTTCTTCAAGCAAGTGCTGCAAACACAGGGAGGACAGGACACCCTTTCCCTGCCCCTGCTGTAAAAGTGATGCACATAAATGGGTGAGCTCGATTGTCCCCTATTTCAGGCCAACATCTTTCACAAGCGTTTCAGGAACAGCTTCAAAGGCATGCAGCTCGAACTAATGAGAAGCGTACAGGAGGTCAGAATTACTGTCTAGTCTTGGAAAAATCAGAATATATATTCTTTTTTCTTTTTCTGTTTTTATCAAGCATTTTTTCTTTAAAATAGATAAGCAACTTTTATAAGAAACCTGGAAATGATTGCTTAAAATTAGTAAGTTACAATTCCAGTGGATGGCCTATCTGGAGCAGCTGGGTTTAAACACTCAAGGGAGAAGTTGGGGAAAGGAAAGGGAAAAAACAGGAGTACATGATTGTTTCTGTGCTGATTCACAGATCTGTTTGCCATCAAATCTGTCATTGTGGTGGTGACATGGACCTGTTACAGCTAAAAGCGAAGAATGCAGAAAGTAAGAGCATTTGACCCTAAAGCCCAAAATACTCAAAGGTTTAGTGTTTTGACTAAGGCAATGATCCAAAGCCTATAAAAGCAGAAGAAAAATAGCCTTTAGCTTCAGTGGGCATTGCATCAGGCCTTCAGATGACTGGCAATCAGCAGACTTCATGCTGTGTAATTCTTTATGAAAGAAGCGTTAGTTCTCCAACACACAGTCAGCTGAGGAGGAATAAGACATGCTGTGTCTTTGCAACTTACCCTTCTGGTCAGCAGACATCCCCATCACTGAGGGTGATGTAGATATTCTTGCACAACTGGTGAAAAGGCATCCAGCTGTGCTTTGCAACTGCTGCTTCCCGCTAAGCCATCACTAGAGAGAGAATTAGCAGAGACTCCATTGTCACATACCCTAGATCTGAACCCTGGGTTATATTTAAACGAGCATAGGAAAGAGTCTGACGACTCTATGACCCTGGTGAATTGGGGGATTGCTTTTTCTAAACTGGAAGGCAAGCGTCGGAAGATCAGATTACAAGTGACTACATGAACGTTTTCATGGTGGGTCAGCTGGAGTTCAGGCTCTGTAAATTCCAAGGAGGTGGTTCCAGAGCAGTTTAAGCACTTCAGCAATTCCTAGCACCGGTGGTCTCAGCTTGGGAAGGATATCATAACATGTCTGAAAGCCAAAGGCTTCTTTGCTAATTTAATAAAGAGTGAACCAGTGGGTAAGTCCCTAGAAAATAGACTAAATCAGCCTAATTTGTTATATAATCCCTTTTTAATGTGGAGAATTAAGGTGACGGCAAGATGACTACGTGTTTAATTCTCCAAATAATTACTGGTGGGTATTGACATTAAAGATGGGAGAGAGTGAGTGAATTTCTGTTTGTAGTTTTCAGCACGTGCCAAACTCTTACTTCATACCAGTGAGAAAAGGCTGGAAGTTGTGTGTTCCATATGCATGAAGTAACAGTTGGCACAAATCACCAAGGGGAGAAAATTAAAAGCCACTAAAGCCCAGCAACCCAAACTGTCACTTGCTGACAATTTTTTGACTCTCTCTATGAAAAAAAAAACCAAACCAAAAAACCAATACATGAAGGCCTCATGCAGGGTATTCCACCTGAGTAAACCCTAGTGTCTGGTCCTCCTCAAGGCAAATAATGTGCTGAGAAGGCAGCAATAGTCTCAGTTTTCCAACCTCCTCCTCTAGTCCCTTGGGAAGTGCAGTCACAGACAGCCCCAGAGTGGGGTGAGAGTGGAGCAGCGGAGGATGACACTGCTTGGCTCAAGTTGGTTCTTTCTTCTCCTGACACTCTTGGCCATGAAAAACCTGTTCTTCCCCATTGCTAGGAATGGAGGTGCTTCGTGGCTAACAGTGTCTGTCCTGCTTGGGGCAACTCTGCCGTATGGATCAGGATAATGGAGTTTACATCCTTCCCTTGCCAGCACTGCTGGATTCACCTCAAAACAGCAGGAGATAGCTGTATCTGCACAACCTGCCTCTAACTCGTGTCCTTACACAGGCCTGGGATGACTTTGGCATTTGGGCCATGGCTGCCAGGGTCCTGGAGGTACCAAGGGGCCCTACTGTTGTGTCCAGTTCCTGCTCAACCTTCCCAAGGACCAGTAGCCCATGTCAGCCCCCTGATCTCATCAGCCTCTGCCCCAGTGATGTCACAGCAGGGCCAGGCTCCATCTGCCCACAGATCTGCCCTGGCCATGGGCCCCACAGAGCCAGACCCACATCCCATCCTGTCAGCACATCCCATGTGGTGTCATGGCCATGGGTTACATGAGTTACCTCATTTTTTGTTCAAAATTATGTCCCGTGCTTGTAGGATTTGATACCATCTAAGTATTCCCTGTCACTTCTGTAAGTAAATATGTGAATAAGTATATTTATTGAGATTCGAAACATGTATATGACATATGGGGTAAGGTATACAGATGTACTGTGTTTTGTTCACTCAAGAATCACACAAATAGATACTTTCCTCCTATTTTGTTGATGGCTAAATATTACTTGTAAGCCAAAGCTAGCTTGTTTAAAACACTCCCTTATTTTATTTTTAAAGAAAGAAATTGTTTTTGCTGTTTGGCATGTTTCTGATTTTCAGACCATGATGATTTTCTGTGTGGTTCACTGTAGCCTTCCTACAACTGACAGCTTATTATCTCGCCTTATGAAAATCATGCATGACTTCTGGGAGTCATCTATCAAAAGGAGAGAACACACAACATACTGAGAAGCTGGTACCTTCTCTCTAATTTTCCAGGTTGATGGCTGTTCAATGAACCTATTAACTGCCTGAAGTGACTTGCATCTTTACAGGTATGGGACTGCATTGTCTTTCTTTGTTGTGTTTAAATGCAAACGCTACCCCATGTAGTGTCCTGGTTTAACTTCATTTCTGGTCTGGTGGTTTCCAAATGCATCTGGCTTCTCTCTCATTGGACAGTAGACTCCTTTGTGTGCCTTCAGAAGTAACGGCTGTAGGTGAACATTCCCGCTTTCCCTTATCTCCCATTCTCTGAAAACTTCCTTGGTTCAAGGTTTATGCCTTTCAGTGGAACACTTAAGCACACACCTGGCTCTAAGCACTTCACTCCTGTCATTTCACTGAACAGGGATGGATTTAAGTGACTACTCATAGTTCATGGCTTGCCAGAACTTCAACAGTTTCTTTTGCAGAGGTCAGATAAGATAAAAGTTAGGAGCCAGATCTGACAGTCCTCTGCCTGGGGTTTAGTTTGCTTTCTGGTAGTGATGGGCAACACCATTCAAATCTTTCATGATACTCCCATGTAAGGATTGATGGGGCCCTAGGTCCAGCTGCTAATTGAAGGTTAAGGAAAGGTAATAGAGCATACTCTACTCTCATTTATACCAGGTAAAAACATCATATGAGTTGCTGGCCCTGTTCTTGTCTGTTTGTGCTACTGCAGCAACAAAAGGAGTCAGAAAACTGCAAAGGAATCTCTTTGGCAGCCCTGTGCCCCTGCTCTGCTCCTCATGCTGACAGCACAGCTGAGCACCTATGGGAGTGTGGTCATCAAAAGCTCTGAGCTACTAGTGTAGCCCTGGCAGGGCTAAGTGGCATGGCTCTGCAGAGAAGCCCTGTGGCTGCTATGGTACCAGGTGCTGGAGTCATGGACAAGCTGCACTTGTGCCCCTGTGCCACCCTGATTATAATTGTGGCCATCTGGAATGGCTAAAACTGAGGCAAAAACTGGGCAACTTTGTTGACGTGGGACTTTTAAGTTGTGTGGAAAATGATGGACAAGTTGGAGAAGAAGCTCACTAGTCAACCACATTGGGAATCCCTCTTTATGAACACAAGTGATATCTTTTGTGGCACTGCTTTGGATAGCTGTGTTGTGCAAATTCCTGGCTCTTTAGAGATCCAGTGGACTATCAGACAAAAAAGAAACCCACCACACTGTATGTCATTCTGGGTACATACTTGCTGTGAATGAACACAAAGACCTATTCATCACTCCTAGTGCTCACATAACTGACAGATTAAATCATTCTCTGGCTGTGATGATGACAGTGGTCCAATAGCTAATGCTGTCTAACAGTCTCCATTAGAAGGCTTTCTTTTTGGTTGTTTATAATTTTGTCAGACTTCAGCTGCTTGAGCTGGATTTTCCCATGCCATATGTTACCAGAAACTGAAGTTTTGTGTGGAAGGGCCTAGATGAATAGTCATGGCATTGCCAAGCCCATGCATCACTGAAAAGTCACTTGAACACAAGTTTTCAGGGAATAGCTGTACATTTCTCATTTCTTGAGGGAGCAGGAAAATCATCTGGAGTTATATGCTCCCCAGTGGTCTGTGCTCAGGCTGAAGTTAGAGTTGCTGCTAAACAGCAAGAGGTTCCATATCCAAGGCTGTCAAGTTGCTAGATATTCTTGACACTTGTAACCTTTTGCAAACTGACCAATGTCTTTTGAGGTTGTACTTTGTCCACTGACATATTTAGTTCCATATTGTAGTCCATGTTGTCAACAGAAGTTGTTTTAAGCAGGCTGAGATTATGCTACCAGGGAGCACAGTTCAGGAAGATGGCATCTAAATGGCTTAAGTTTTAGCACATGGTATTATGGCTTTATAGCTTTCTTCTGCTCACCCTTTTCCTTCTTCATAGCTGTCCAGTTGTCATATTTCTGACCAGCAATCCCTGTCATATAGGATCAGGACCAGATTTTCAGATCTCCATGCTGGTCTGAGCACCAGGCTGATGTTGCTAGATCCTGGAGGTCAGTTAGCTTTTAGCATGGCTTTTATTTGGTCCACTAAATCAACGTTGGTATTTTTTCCTCTGCATTTCCAAACAGTACTGCAGAGGTCAACAGGAAGAGCTTTCGGGCTGAAAAGTACAACAGCATTGTCCCCGGGTGAGGTGGTTGTGTTGGGAGGACATTTGGTGACAAGAAATAAGTGGCATGGGTGTGGGTCAGGAGTGAGGTGGGGTTTAACAGATCTAATGTAACTTTGAGGATGATATGTATCTCTGTGAGTAGTATCTGCAGATGACAGCTCAATTCCACATTGTGTGAAAACATGCTCTCTGATCTGCAGCCTATATAACCCTTTCTCATTCCCTACAGATATTTTTATTAAGTGAGCTTTACAAGGACCTAGAAAGAACCTCTACCTGTCACAAGAATCTGAGAAGGCTTAAGTAAGGTCCCTAGAGCAGTTTTTCCTTAACATTATCCAACCTGGAAAATTTCCGGATTTCAGTAAAAAGTGTGTATGCTATGTTTTCCCAAGCTGGGTATCAATGTGAATTGTAGGAGCTATTGGCTAGGAAGTATCTAGAAGCAGACTTTACAACCACACAGAATGCTTTCATTTAACTACCTGTGCTACTGGACCCTCACATGATTTAGAGCTCTGACAAACCTGAATTCCCATTAAACTAGATAGCTTGGATCCAATTAGTGGCATTATCTCAGGAAGACAGTGTTCTGGATGGCCTGCCAACAATAGCTGGCCATTGACTGCTCTGCTTTGCAGGGGGGTTTGCAGGTGTGCTGTGTTCTGTTACGGCAGTGCCATGGTGTTACCAGTACCTTGGATGGCTCATTTAATGCTAGTTCAATATGTCAGTGCCATGCTGCAGTTTTAATAAGGTCAGTGGTAGAGGCACATCTGCAGTCGGAAATTTTCATCATTCTGCACCACCGACATGGTGTAATACCTACACTGTGCAGATCCTTAAGCCAAGACTTTAGGAAATTAATCTGGATCCTATAAACATTTTAATGGGAGGAAGCAAAAATACTTGCATGACCTGACAGATCTTTTTGGCTTATAGGTAGGACTTCATATGGAGGAAGTGGTCTTTTCCCTTGGTGACAATAAAAGTACTTTATATTTTTGCTGCAATGGAAAGATCATGCATTATATAGATCCCATTGAACAGTATTCAGTAAAATGCAGATGTCCTTAAGTTTTCATTATAAACTTTATTTTATTCCTGTTCCTCACATTGCCAAAATCAGCCCTATTCACCTACAGCTTCACAGGCATAATCTTATTCTGGGACCAATTTTTTGGAAGAGTTGAAGGAAATTGGTCAAGGCGTTTAAGAGAGATGATGGCTAAAAAAAATGAGATCATCTGCTTGGAGAGTTTCCTAAAGACTTTTTGGTTTGTCATATCCTCAAAATTCATTTGCCTAGAGATTGAAAAAATATTTCAGATCTGTTGGTCTTGGCTAGAAATGGTGCCTTTGAATAGTTTTAGGCTGTCTGGTGACAGAATTATTTGGTTATTGAAAGTGGTTCCTGCCTCAGTGTGTGTACATATATGTGTTATGTGCTCTTTGGAGATCTTAACTCAACTAGTCAGTGCCAATGTGCTCATAAATTTATGGTGTCATATGTCAGGTTTCTAAACAACTCTGCATGCATTCTAAACAGACATGTTTCTTCTCTGAGACTCATCCTATCTGCAGATACTGCTGTCTAAAATCCTCACTTACGTGTTTCCTGACTCGCACTGCAATCCATGCTGAAGCTGACAGCATGGCTTTACAGTCCCTTCTGCACAGTCCCTGGAGACCTCTCCCAAAGGTTACAGCATTCAAAGCTCATTCTACTCATCTCAGTGTTTTTTCGTGTCAAAAAATTCACACCTGCCCTGATTTGTGCCAATATGTCACTCTCTGATGGCTGTGAGCAACACATGATGAGACTTTAGTCAATATTATTTTTCAGCATATGTGTTCTGTGGTTTATTTCTGGTTTTATGACAAAGTAAGTTCTGAGGCACAGTGTTCTATTTTTAAAGAGGACTTATTTCAAAATATGTGCTTAGAACTTTCTCATAATTGCATCATTTTAAAGATGGTTCTTGAAGTGTGACCAAATCCAGAAGCAAACATTCATTAGACAATTTTCAGCATCTCTCACTCTAAAAAGAACATGAAATCTGGAAACAGTATAGTTGTGCTATGCCACTGCACTAATGTGCTCTCCTTGGATCACTCACCCACTGCATCACCCCCTTAGTTTGTACTGAAGGTTATAGCAGAGCAACGTGAACAGTCAGGTCTGCCCAGCACGTACCATTGACAATGGGACATGG